TGTAGGGTCTGCTGGCTGGGTGCTGGCAGGCTTGCACCTGGCACGGGCACCGTAGCCACCCCGTGCCCCTTTAAGGGGTCCTGGGCCAGGAGGGGGGCAATAGAGTTTCCCTGGTGTTGGCCAGAGTGGCCACCAGGGAAACCTGGGGAGGGCTAGCCTCCCACTAGTTCTAATTAAGGGGCTACACACCCCTTAATTCGAACTAGTAAGTTCGAACTAGGCTTAATCCTCGTAAAATGAGGTCTTCCTAGTTCGAACTAAGCGCTCCGCTAGTTCGATTTAAATTCGAATAGCGGAGCGCTAGTGTAGCGCCTATGATGTTAGTTCGAACTAATGTCCGTTAGTTCGAACTAACATTGTAGTGTAGACATACCCTCAGGGACCCTCAACGGGAGTGAGGGGAAGGTGAAGGCAGAAATAGCCCAGGGGCTTGGCAATTTAAAAGGGCTCTAGGAACCTAGATGTTGCCACAGTAGCCCTGCCAAAAATCATCTCTTGATTGAAAGACACTTTTGATATACCCAAGCACGTTCTAGGATGCGCTTACGTGATCCTGTAACCTGCATGGGACGTATCAAAAGCTCTTTCAGTCAAGAGTTGCAGCTGAAGTTTTCCCCAAGAGGCTGGTTGGGTCCAGGAAAGACTGGGGAGGAAGGGTTTGGGCTGGCCAACTCAGGGATCCTCTGGAGAGGGATGCTTTTGTCTTCTCCATGTGGAGGGGAGGTTTGCGGCCCCAGCTGAGGGAGGGGTCAGGGTACCCATTGATTTCAGCCCATAGTTAATTTGGTCACTCATTGTTATGACTTTATGTTTGATTATGGCAATTGCTTCTCCAAGAAAACATGGCTATAACCCCGCTTTAATTTATATTTTCTTTCAGTTCTCCTGTAGCTATGTTACAGTATATAAGGGACCTTCATCTCTTTTATATATTGTCAAGCAGATGCATGTGGGTTTAACAAAGCGTGACAGTAGAGTAAGTATTCCCCCAGATACATAATCTAAAAAAATTGATAATGCCATAAGAATAAAAGAGTTATATCCTCAACATCACTTACCAGTTACCTCACATTCCCTGCATACAAACTCTCATGAAATCAAGAAATCATTGTGGGGAGGGGAAATGAAATTCAGTTGTTTTGAAATTAATAAGACTTGACAGCTTTAAATGTGATTCACATGAAAGCCTCACAGTGCACAGAAATAATCTATAGAAGTGAAAATGTAATGATTGGTGACGTTTATAATTTTGTTGTCTGTTACAAAACTGTAATTTTCCCCACATGCATCTGAAGTTTATGCATCTGAAGTTTCATGCATCTGAAGTTTAACAGAGTCTAACACTGCCCAGGAGACAGTAACATATTGTGGCTCATATGAACATTAAAAGCATAAGCCCAGTATCCCGTCTTCCAACAGTGGCCAATGCCAGATGCCCCAGAGGGAGTGAACAGAACAGGTAATCATCAAGTGATCCCTCTCCTGTCATCCATTTCCAGCCTCTGACAAACAGAGGACAGGGACACCATTCCTACCCATTCCGGCTGATAGCCACTGAGGGTATGTCTACACTAGCTCCTTAGTTCGAGCTAGGTAGGCAAATGAGGGCAACCGGAGTTGCAAATGAAGCCCGGGATTTAAATATCCCAGGCTTCATTTGCATGTTCCCGGGCGCCACGGGCAGTTAGTTCGGACTAAGGGGGATTTAAAAATGGTGACACCCGGGAACATGCAAATATAGCCCGGGATATTTAAATCCCGGGCTTCATTTGCAACTCCGGTTGCCCTCATTTGCCTACCTAGCTCGAACTAAGGAGCTAGTGTAGACATACCCTCAGTGGCTATCAGCCGGAATGGGTAGGAATGGTGTCCCTGAATACCCTGAGAGACCTAACTTCCAGTTCTTTTTTGGACCCTATTAAAGTCCTGGTCTTTACAACATCCTCTGGCAAGGAGTTTCACAGGTTGACTATGC